GTCAATGCCTGAGGGCTCCCAGTATGTGAGAGGGGGCAGGCTGGGCTGAGGGACACTCCCAGCCCGTCCCCCGCCCCACCCCCCAGTGCACGAATTTCGTGCACCAGGCCCCTAGTTATATTATAAATATCCAAGTGGCAGAAAAAAGGTTCCCCACCCTTGCTATACTAATAGAAAGTACCCACCCCTGCTATGGAAAGTACGTGGAAAGAATGAACTTCAGAAACACTGCTCACTATTCTCTTTAAAAGCCCTTTATGACTAGAAAGCATTTTAAGATTGCCTTCAAACTCATTCCCATGCTTTTGTTCTCTTGGTTTTTCAGCTACCCCTCGGCTACCATTCTAAGGTTTTAAATTCTCTGGGAGGCTCCACTCAACCTTTCCAAGGGCAATACTTACCTCTTCAGTTGAGAGTCTGGATACGATACACAAATACAGATACTGTTCAACTTAATGGAAATGTTTCCTCATAGTTCCTGCGACTGCATCAATGCACTGCAGATTACTGCCTAGATCTTAAACTATAGCATCTCATTGTTGCTCACTGCTTAGCATGTCCACTTCTAGGCTTTTTTCCCTTTCTCATACAAGCAGCTAGGATTTTCCATCTTATATTAGGGTTGTAAATATATTGCTACCAAAACCATGTTGTTCTACTGTGACTTTAATTAAAGTTATTCCTCAGTCTAATTCTACCTTTCAAAGTATACTTTCATATAAAAGCCACAAAATTATTTAGTTAAATGTCAACGAATGAACGTTGCATTATTCAATGATTAAGCCCTAACAACTTCACTTGAATAATCACGTATAGTTATTTCCAATTACAAACAAGAAAGATGAGTTAAGAGCTTGATCTAACAGCAACAAGGCAGCCAAAACTGGGATGAAATGTGAAGTGTTTGTGCACATGTCACAATAGAGACAAGCATCTGTGTTTTCCATCAGCTTACCTGCTCCTGTGATAAGCACTGGATGGACTACTTAGTATCTTTAAAGAAATCTAAAATCATCTCCTCCACCTAGTACACCAAGGAGGAAATACTCAAATGCCAACAATCATCACCTCTCTGGTCCGAATCCTCAACTTGTATCTACCATATTCATACATTTTGGTGCTACTGCTACAACTGTCATACATGAGAAACTGCCAGAACCTATGGACCCTGAAGTTTTCTAATGCAAAAATATCTCATTTTGACCAGTTTTACAATATATTCAACTGTAATAGGATTGCCCAAGTATTTTTGTTTATTATACACATTTCTTTACCTGATCCATCATACATGGTATTCTATTTGCACATTTTTTAAATCTAGAATAAAATTCCAAAAGGACCTGACTGATGTAAAAAAAAAATGGACTATCTGGGAAGACAGTCCAAATCTGTCAGTTCGTATCATCCTCCAGGGCACAGATTCTACCAATACAAAATAAACCTGTACATGAAACTACTATCAAAATTGGGAAGTAAACAGATCTGTGTTCTCAAGCTTTTAAAGGTAACAAGACATGGCTATGAACATCTTCACCTGACTTGGTCCCCACTCAAAGCTATTCTCAGTATAACAGCTAGAGTGGCCCTTTGAAAATATTAGTCACATCATGTGATTGCTATGCTCAAAGCCTTACAATAGCTTCCCAACATACTCAAAGTTAAAACCGAGGTCTTCACAGGGACCAAGGAGATGTGTGGCCTGGCCCATCCACACCCCTCCCACCAGCTCTCATCTCTCTCCAGCCCCATTGGCCTCTAACTGCTTCCCCAAAATTCCGGTCATGTTCCTGCTCCGGGAAACTTTTATATCTGCCACTCCTCCTTCCTGTGGCGCTTTCCTGACTCACCTCCTTCAGGGCTGGTTCAGATGGAAGCCTTCTTCAACCAATCTATTTAAAACAGCAGCTCCCTATTCTCCCTCCCTTGCCATTTTTTGGCACATCACTTCTTAATATGTTTTACCATATTCTACTTATTTATTAATGTACAGTCTTCTCCCCTGACTAGAATGCGAACTCCATGAGGACAAGATTTTTATCTGTTTTATGCACTTCTACCCCAGAGCCCAGATAATGCCCAGCACAAAACAGACATTTAATATACAGAGGCAATGATGTTAAGTAGGATCATTTGTTTGTATTCCTATCTCCTCCCATTAGCATATAAGCTCCATGAGGACAGGGACTGGTGTTTTCCACTGTTAGGACCTAAAACAGAACCAGACATGACAGACTGTCAAATCTCAAAAGGAAGGCGGGGGCAGAATAGGTTAACCAAAGAACTTGGTTGACACAGACAATAGTGCAGTGAAGGCCTGGGGAGAGGGAGAGAGCAGGTACAGGGTAGAGGGGGAGTCAATAGTGGGCTGGGAGAGGTGAATGGGGGAAAAAAGAGGCATATGTAATACTTTCAACAATAAAGACTTTTTTAATTGGTGAGGAAACATCAATGTTTCCATGGTGATAAGAAATGCCCTTTCACAGTACAAAATTGTCAGATTATAAAATGAAAATAAGTTCACTTTCATTTTTTCCAACATGTTTCTTCTCCCATTTATCAATTATTAAAGACTTTCCGAAAAGAGCTTTAGCCCTTTCTTGCTCTTTCTTTCCAGTATTGAGGCTAATTCATAACACAGAATTATGTGACTTTCTTTTTCTTGACAACTGATATAATAAACACAACATTTTCTCTCTTGGTTTTCTTTTGCCTCAAACTCCACCATACTTAAAAAGGAGGATGGCCGCTATGGGTCAGTTGGTTGGGCATCATCCCATGTACCAAAGGTTGCCGATTTGATATTATTGGGTCAAAATGGACTACAGTTTATTTTAAATCTAGAGCAACTGATCTATACCTTTACCTAGTTTCACAGATAAATCCACAGGATGAACTCACCGCTTGTAAAGGCCAAGAATTAGAGGATTCCTTTAGAAAATACCCAGTTAATTTTAAAATATAAAGAGGTCATCATATTGCTTCAAAGGGCTTACTGATTTGGCAACTCTATTCTTAGAGGCTGAAACATACGAACACCAGTCTTAGAAGAATAGTTTATGCATCTGCTTACAAAAGCATGATATAAGATCTAGAAGACAGGAAAGAAAACGTGTGAGAATGCCGTGAGCTCAGCTATAATTGAGCAGGTAGAGTCCAGAGAGTTCCCACCTCAATCAAATGGCACAGAGCAGTACATTTCAAATGGTCTACTCAGCCCTCAGCCCACAGAAGTGCTTAGAGGCAGCCACCAACTATGGAAGAGGAGACCAAGCCTGAGCTCCAGTCCTTTCACAGGCCTTTCACACCCACATCAAAAAGAGAGCACCGCCTCCCTGAATGTTTGTATGCTAGGGTTCTGGCAAATATCTCATTTTAAAAATGTCTGAAAACCAGCAGCAAGGGCTTAGAGTTAGGGAGACGCAAGTTCAAATTCTAGATTTGTTGAAATAGGAATATACACCACCATGCCTAGCAAGGAATCAGTGCTCAATAAGTGGTAGAAATGATTATCCATCAATGAGTAGTAGTAAGAGGTATTAAAGGAGTGACCCTTAAAATACACAACCAAGAACCACATAACTATAATGTGACAACACACAACATTTAGTTATCAGTTTACTCCTCAGCCCAGTGGTTCTCAACCTTCCTAATGCTGCAACCCTTTAATACAGTTCCTCATGTTGTGGTGACCCCCAATTTCATTGTTACAAATTGAACATAATTAAAGCATAGTGGTTAATCACAAAAACAATATGTAATTAGATAGGTGTTTTCTGATGGTCTTAGGCGACCCCTGTGAAAGGGTCATTCGACCCCCAAAGGGGTCACGACCCACAGGTTGAGAACCGATGCCTTAGCCAAATATAAAATTACCCCTTATGAACCCACTCTATCCCTTAGGTGCTAGAGACATGGTACCCAGGAACCCCAAGAGCTTTTCCTGCACCTACTACAGAAGGAAGGAGGTGGGGAAGGAGAAGTGGAAGAAAGAAGAAAAGGAGCAGAAAGAGGGAAGAGAGAAGAAGGGGAGGAAAACAAAGGGGAGAAAAAGAGTAAAAGAAAGAGTAAAAAAAAACACCTCTAAAATATGAAAAGAAAATTACAAAACAGAAATTAATACATACTTGTCACTACTAAGAATTATATTCGAGAATTTTGGTATTCATAAATATTTCTTATATGCTTAAATAATTTATGTTAGATTTTCTTCACAAACATGACAAAGAATGTACAATGACTGCAGATAAATCACAACCAACTTCAAATTAGGTGACATACTCAAAGGTAAAAATTTTTTTTTTAAATAAGTCAACCGCTACAACACACAGACACACACACACTCAATGTGTGATATGAGCATATTAAATACATTTGATACCCTGTGATGGGAGTCTCAAATCGTAAGAAGCCCATAGGAGAAGGAAGAAGCAAATCCCGGATGCCCTCTCTGATCCGCCGGCTTTCCAGCATATGCATCTCATAACTCCTGAAAGCACCTCAGGAATCACTGGAACCCCAGGAACCCCAAGGTTAAGGCCATGGGCCTCTACTCAGCTCCTCTCCCCCAGCTATCACACCTGGACGAATGGGAGGGTGCTGCAATCACCAGACAGGAGGAAAGGAGGCTCACCTGCTTTATTTTATTTCGGGAGTTGGTGATGCGCTCTGTGATGCTCTGGTATGTGCGGATAGCGGTCGTCAATTCCGTATAGTGCTGCACAATCAGTTCATCCAGGTCACGATCACATTTCTCATAGGCTTCTTCAAGGCGACCCTTCTCATTTTCTCTGTCTTCAACATCATCACTGGTAGACAGCGTTCTGATAAAGACAGAGAATATATATCAAGCTGAGTCAAACTTAAAGCAAAAAGGAAAAAAGTACAACATATGAAATATAGTCAATAATATTGTAATAACCATGTATGGTGCCACGTGGGTACTGGAAATATTGGGAGAACACTGTATAAAGTATATGATTGTCAAACCACTTACGCTGTTCACCTGAAACTAACACAAAGTAATATTGCATATAAACTGTAATTGGAAGAAAAAAAGAAAAGACCAATTAGTCAATAAGCTAGCCCAGTGGTCGGCAAACTGCGGCTCGGCAAACTGCAGCTCATGAGTCACATGCTGCTCTTTGGCCCCTTGAGTGTGGCTCTTCCCCAAAATACCAACTTCTGCACATGGGCCACGAAGTTTCAATCGCACTATATGTGCGTGCCCGCACGTGGTATTTTGTGGTATTTTGTGGAAGAGCCACACTCAAGGGGCCAAAGAGCAGCATGTGGCTCGAAAGCCGCAGTTTGCCGACCACAGAGCTAGCCCATTCATCCCACTAACTAGGAAATGAAACAATTTCCTAAAAGAAAATAGGAAACCACCTACGTAGTAAATTCCAATGTCCCTGTCTAAATGGATTTGCTGGTTGCCTATCCAAGGGGCCTTCCGCTCAGGTTTTCCTTGGCATGCCAACTGTAATTGGATAATAGGCGGCATGAACTCTGCAAGACCCTGGGCAGGTCTTAATTTGTTTGAATGGATCCTGGTAATTCCATTCCCCTTCCCAGTGACAAGTTTGGCCACTGAGACTAAGGACTTCTAGGTATAGTTTACTTGCAAGTAAGATTAAGGAAGCAGGCCCCTTTTCCCAACACTGAATACTCTGACACAAAGCTGAAATACTCAAATAATTCAGCCATCTTACAACCATGGACGGAAAGCTCAGACAAATGCCATACTGCTATGACGTCTTTGGCCACCAAAGCAGACAACCCTGCAGCTGCCTGACCTCCGGACTTCTTGCTAGGAGAGATGATAATTACCCACTGTTTAGGTCACTTTCAGCTGGTCGTCTTTTACATAGAGCTGAAAGTGTCCTAACTGATAAATTCACTCATACACTGAGAAGCCACCTTCCAAATAGCTTTTCTTTAATCCTCACTCGAGGATAAGTTCTTACTGATTTTAGAGACAGAGAAAGGGAGAGGGAGGGAGGGAGGGAGGGAGGGAGGGACATAAATGGGCTGCCTCCTGTACCCACCCCGAGCGAGGATCAAAAACCCACACCTGGGCATATGCCCTGACGGGGAATTAAACCTGCAACACTTTGGTGCTTGAGACAATGTTCCAACCAACTAAGCCACACCAGCAAGGGCCCAAATAGCTTATGTAAATGACCTCAATTTGGTACAGAACCCCCAGTGGCCTGGAAATAAGGTCATATTAATTCTAAAATCTGTTAGGACAGCAATAATAGGAGCTACACTACAAGGTAGTCCCTGAATGTGCTATTCTTCCATCAGCACTAACAAGACTGATATGAATCAACAATAACCAGGGGATGAGATAGATACACTTATTAAAAATCTTTCAATAACTTTAGTTTGATACATGGGCCAGAGACCTTTGTTTCCTCTATTATTTTTCTTGGATAATTTTTTTTAATTTAGTGTTATAATCAGCAACAAAGAAACCTTTTCCTCTTATCTGCTGTCTGTGGTAATTTAGAGTTTCATTAAATTCCCTCAGATTTGTCAGCCTATACATTCAGCATAATTTATTTCATTTATCTTTTTTAATTTAGGGAGGGGTATTTTAGGCTCTCAATGATGGATGCAATCAATTATAAGTCCATCATTAAAACTGCTTTCAAAGATGGTCTGTCAGCAAATCAATCACATATCCACTCCTAGATATTTGCAAGCAAAATACTGTACAACAGACTTCTCCTAACTGTCACTAGACCAAAAGATCTTAATTCACGAGCCACATAATATGTAAAACTTGTTTTTCAATTCAGAGGGAGATTCAGCAGGCCAGTCTTTGACTTCAATCTAACCTCCTGAAACAATTTTGTAAATGTGTTACGGATGCCAAGAGATCTGATCTAGCATGAAATTGGGAGTGGGGGGGAGAGTGTAAGGAAGGAAAAAGGTGATGTCTCTAAGGCAGGGGTCCTCAAATTTCGGCCCGCGGGCCACATGCAGCCCACCGAGAACATTTATCCGGCCCGCCGGGTGTTTTTGCCGCCGCTGCCTGTCCTGCTTAGCAGTCGACTCGTCCCAGGCCCGCAGTGCGCATGCGTGGAATGTCTGAGGGACAGTGAACTGGCCCCCTGTTTAAAAAGTTTGAGGGCCTCTGCTCTAAGGAAGAGCAGAGGTACACGTGGGGTACACTCAGGAAATCAACACCCTGTGAACCCTAAGATTTAAAGGAAGGCCTTTCCCACGCCAGGTCTGTGTCCTCTGTCAGATGGTGTTCCAACACCACAGTTGGCAAGGTTACTTTCAGGTAGAGAAGACCATGCAAGTGTTTGACTAATAAATAAATCAGAGTGGAGAATTTGGTTCCAAAGACAGAGCTACCAAAATCACTTGCATTATTTGGGGGCAGCTAAGGGTGTCTTCCTGTTGCTTCTATGATCTATAACTTTGCTCTTTAAATGTGAAACCTTCCAGGCTGTTGATCAAAAGTAAAGCACAATCAGAAAATGCCTTCAATTTATCAACTGTCCCCAGAAGAAGATCCCTAGATATTTAACTCTATGCTTCCCCTGGTAACAGCCAACAGCCACAGAATTTTCAAAGCCACGCCGCTGTGCATGCTTCCTCACCACCACCATCTGTGGAAGGAAACATGCCAGACGTTTCACACTGTTTACATTAAGCAGCAGCGTTACCACTAAGGAAAATGTCAGGCCCAGAGAGGACCTCACCCTGGGCATCAGCTGTCCCCACGACACATCACTGGAGCATTAGGAGTTATTTAGGAAAATCAAAGAGTTACTAAAGTAAAGATTGAAAAGTAAATTGGTCTGTCGGGGGTTTCGGCTATTTTCATTTTTAGAGAAAATATTTATGTAAGGAAAACAGCCTGTGCCAGGGTTGCCCCACATTGGAAATTCTTTCTCTTGATGTGACATTCTTTCTCTTGATGTGGCTGAATGACATTTTTCCTTAGTAAAAAATACTTATATTGGAGAACTCTGAAAGTACAAACCACTTTTAAAAATTTAATTAAAGGAAAGGAAGGCAGCAAGGATAAAAAATAATAATGATGGCCACTAATATTTAGAGAGGCTTAGTGGCTGCCAGGAAGCAGCTGTGCTGTAGACTTGATAGAATGTATGTTTAATCTTCACACAGCCCTGGAGTGGGTCCTATGACTATCCTCCCTCCCCTTTTTCCAGATGTAGCAGCTGAGATGTGAAGAGGTTTGCCCCACCTCATACAATAAGGGAAGGAACAGAACAGGGTTTCAAAACCCAGGTAGATCTGTTTTCTAATTATGCTCCTAACTGCTACGGGAGTCATGAGCTCTGGAGTCAAACTGCCTGGGTTGGAATCCACCACTTACTGCCCCTGCGACCTTGGTAATCCTATCCCATTTTACTAATCTATAAAAAGGAGGACCTTCCTTATAGGGTTATTGGTTAGCATTAAATGAGATCAAACAAGGCCTGGCATATCATTAGAACTCAACAATGACGGTTGCTGTTGCTAGGTACCATAGGTATAGCAGCAGTAGTACTGGTAGTAGTAGGAGAAGCAGTAAAGTCAGTAGCATTTTTCCACAATGAATGGGAAGAACATCCTTTGGAAACACAGGTTCAAATTTCATGCCCCCAAGCACTAGATCCGTGGTGAGCAAACTGCGGCTCGCGAGCCACATGCGGCTCTTTGGCCCCTCGTGTGTGGCTCTTCCTCAGCCAGTGATGGCGAACCTATGGCACGCGTGTCAGAGGTGACACGCGAACTCATTTTTTTTATTGATTTTTCTTTGTTAAATGGCATTTAAATATATAAAATAAATATCAAAAATTTAAGTCTTTGTTTTACTATGGTTGCAAATATCAAAACATTTCTATATGTGACACAGCACCAGAGTTAAATTAGGGTTTTTCAAAATGCTGACACATCTAGCTCAAAAGGTTCGCCATCACTGTCCTAAGCCTTAGGAGTACCCTAATTAAGTTAATAACAATGTACCTACCTATATAGTTTAAGTTTAAAAAATTCGGCTCTCAAAAGAAATTTCAGTCATTGTACTGTTTTTATTTGGCTCTGTTGACTAATGAGTTTGCCGACCACTGCACTAGATCATTTGGCACTGGGCATGAGATTTGACCTCTGATTCTCACTTTATTCTTCCTTAATGTCAACAACTGTCAAGAGCCTGAGATTTTTATCCTACTTACAAGTTAACAGCTAGCCTGCCACGGTTTTATGGATTCTGGTAGAAGACACAAACTCCTGGGTCAGGCTAAGGACTTTATTACTCACAGCACAGCAAGTAGCATGAGCACCAGCACAGTTGTTCAGTGCCCATTCCCCCAAACCCCATGGGGGTTAAGCCCAAAAGGATGCCTGCACACACTGTGAACTACTGGAGAGAACCCTGAGCTTAGAAAGCCAAATCTTTCATACTAGACAGGAAACATGCCTGCCCTCTGCTCTAGAAGATAAGATTCTATCTTCCAAGGATGCCTGCTAGCAAACACCCTGACAAGACAGTCTAAAACAAAGGGCACTCAGTGCTATGCTCAAAAGAACTCCCAAGACACAACACTCCCAAGGAAAACTGTCTCCCATGATGAAACATAATTCATTGGGTTTCTCCAAGGAGTCCATGATGTCAAGTAAATACAAATTCATTTCCGACCTGTTTTCATGTCAGCAAAATAAGACCAGAAATACAATGTCTCACACGATGAATATCTGCAAAATGAACGAATGACAGACCGTCAGAACAGACAAATAGCAGGGAGCAAGTTCCTAGGCATGATACCAACACCCAGCAAATTTCAGTGTGAAGTCATCTTCCTTTAAGCC